GCCGCCGCGCCACGAGACACCGCTTTCCGGCTCCGAGGGTCAACCCCGCCTCCTCCACGGCGGCCCCGCCCCCGCCACGTGACGCACGGAAGGCCGCCGCTTCCTCTTACTGGCGTAGTTCCGCGTCTCGGCGCTCGCCGCTCCTGGGTGCTATTGCCCGCCTGAGTCACGTGTTGGGGGAAGCGGGACGGCGTCGTCCTCCTTTCCTAGCACCCCCTCCGTCCGCCATGTTTTCAGGCCGGGTCTGTCTTGGTCCTCCCCCCTAAGGAAATGGCCGTGGAGCTCCAGGGGACCCGGGTGCCGTCGCTTCGGCGGAGCCTGGGCTGACAAGGCAGGGCAGCGGGGGGAACCCTAGCAGTTCCGCGCGAGATAGGGAGGCCATGGCGTCCGGCAGTAACTGGCTTTCCGGAGTGAATGTCGTGCTGGTGATGGCCTACGGGAGCCTGGTGAGGAAATCCCCCACCCCATTCCTGCTGTTGCATCTGACCCAATAGAGACCGTCCTGTTGAGATGTTCCCCATCTTCATTCTCCCCCCACTCACCTGCGCTTGTTTCTAGGAGTAGCTGGGAGCTTAAGTCATCGACCGGACCGACCTGCCCCTGGCTGAGAAGCCGCCCTCTAAACCCCAGGGAATAGACCCCCACGCCTCCCCGCTACTGGCTTCTTAGATCCACCCCCATCCTTGACGGCGTTGCCCCCAGTTTTACCCCGAAGCATCCCTGAGAGCCCGAATCTGGGGTTTTGGAATGAAGGCATGCTTTTTTAATTTTTTTAACTGTCTTTTTGTTAAAGGTATTTTGCATCTTTTTGAACAGGTGTTTGTACTGCTATTTATTTTTGTGAAGAGGCAAATCATGCGCTTTGCAATGAAATCTCGAAGGGGACCTCATGTCCCCGTGGGACACAATGCCCCCAAGGTAGGTTCTTAGGGCGCGAGGTAAACCTGGTTCTCCAGATCTTTTAGAGACTAGGGGACTTTCTTTGCTTTTAGTGATTAATACCCTTGTTTTTTTGTCCAGTTACTCTCCTACTTAGTAAGTTGAGCAATAACTGTCAGGCTTGGAACTTGGCTTACCTGCTCGCTGCTGTGGCAAGCATGTAGCTTACCCAGGAACTTCAGTTTTTGGATCTGCAGAGTGTAGGGCGTGGATTGCAGTTCCCAACGCTTTGTAGTAATGTTTCCCAGTTCATCTTAAATTACCCAGTGTGTTTTTTGTTTCAGGATGGTATTGGGATGGTTACAGTTGGCCCCAGAGCTTTGAGAGGTCATAAATCACCTAGTTCCACCATCCATGTTAAAAATTATTTAGAGATGAGATTTTCTCTCTCCCCCAAATCTCTTTCCTGTGTTCCATACATATATCCAACTGCCTACCTGACATTTCCACTTAGCTATCCAATCTCAAACCCAGCATGTCTAAATCAGAACTCTTGATACTTCGCTGGCACCCAACCCTACTTCTTTAGTCTTTTGTAAAAGACACCTACCATCTTGACCAACCTCCTTTTGTATGGATCTCTTCAGTCACTGATTCAGCTCCGCTGGTTGAATTTCCCATCTTCTCTGTTGTGACCTGGAATAGTCTTCACGTCACTAGTTCATTCATTCTTTAGGTTTTAGCTTAAATATGACTTTCTAAAAAGGATGGCTTTTCTTTCTTTTTTTGAGTCTGTTGCCCTAGGCTGGAGTGCAGTAGCACTGTTCACAGCTACTGCAGCCTCAACCTCCTAGGCTCAGGCAGTCCTTCTGCCTCAACTTCTAGGTAGCTAGGACTACAGGCATGCACCATCACACTCAGCTAATTTTTCAAATTTACTGTAGAGATGAAGTCTTACTATGTTGCCCAGACTAGTTTCAAACACCTAGGCTCAGGCAGTCCCCTCACCTTGGCCTCCCAAAGTACTGAGATTACAGGTATGAATCACCATGCTGGCAGCCCCTCTTTATTTTTTCTTTATAGCATTTATCTTAATTTTTCTTTTATGTTTACTTGTTTAGAACATATCTCTCTCTCCTACTAGATTGTAAGCTTCAAGAATTCAGGCATCATGCCAGTTTTGTTCACCACTGTAAAGCCAGGACCTACAGGTAGTAGGTACTCAGTGATTTCCTGATGAATGAAAAAGAGTAATGGAAGAGGTAGAGCTAGGCCATGAGTCCCTCAATTCCTAGAGCAATATTCTTTCATTAAGCAGTGCTGTTAATCTCCTTGGTTTCTTTTATGGTATATTGCATGGAAAGGCTCGAGGATATTGCGACCTGAAACCTTGACACTGCACCTGCCTTTCTTGAGAGGGGCAAAGGGTTGGTTTCTAGCACGTCATAATTCAGTCAAAACTTTAACTATTTAGGGGTCCCCTATGCTATATGAAATCAAGATTCCTTTCTGAAAAATTCATCTAAATTCTCAGCCATTGCTGGTACAAGTATAAATTAGTAAAACCACTTTGGAAAACATTTGGGCATTACCTAGTAAGATTGTGCACATACTTAATCCTTGGTCCAGCAGTTCCCCTGCTACCTCAGACAAGTTAATTTTTTGCTTACATGTACCAGGAAACATTTAAAAGAATTCTCATAGCAGCATTGCTCATGGTATTCACAAAGGAAACGGTTAATCTAAATGCCCACTTGAAAATGGATATATAGTAATATATTCATATTCTTGAATACTATAGGGAATGAAAATAAGCTGAAGATAAATATGTAAATACAAGTGAATCTTCAGTATGTTTTTTAATGAAAAAAGTAAGTTGCAAGCATGAATCTCAGAAACATGCTGAGTGAAAAAAGCCAGAAAGCCATTTGCAAAAGATTATGTACCTTCCACTTATATGAAATTCTAGAACAGGCCAAACTTTAGAAGAGACCTCATAATGTTGCCTGGAACTGGGAGTGGAAGGGTTGACTGCAGAGTGTGAGGGGATATTTCCAGGTGATGGAAATACTTATTTTGGTTGAGATGGTTGAATGAGTATATTAATTTGTCAGAACTCATCAGTCTTTATATATAAAGCAAATGCATTTTATTGTATGTAAATTCAACCTCAATAAGCTTTATTTAAAAATTTTGAAAACAGGCTACAGAAGAATTCACAAAATATTTTTTCATTTGCATAAAGTTCAAAACCAGGCAAAACTAAACATCTTATTTTGGGTGACATGTGATGAAACAGTGAAGAAGACTAAGAGGACTTTTGACAAATTAAGATTTGGGGTGGGGAGCAGTCAATGCAGGATAGGCACACAGGACTTCAAAGTCATCGGTAATGTTCTATTCCATAAACTGGATATTGGATACAGGTGCTCACCTTAATGATTTTTATAGTGATTTAAAATGTATATATATATATATATATATATATTATCTATATTCCTTGTATAATACATTTCACAATACAAGTTTCTAAAAAGTTACAACAAAATATTTATTTCCTAGGGCTCTGGTAACCCTCTTAGGTAAGAGAGATGGATATGAAACTGATAATAGTGGTTGCTTCTATATAAGTGAGAGGTAGCACCTTTAGTTCCTTTTAAAATTGTATGCCATAGATCTTAATTAACTATTTTAAAAATTAAATATGCTATAGTTTTCTTTAGTCTGTAGCCATCCGCCACCTGTAGTCCCAGCTACTCATAATCCCAGGTGAAAGGGAGGCTGAGGTGGGAGGATTGCTTGAGGCCAGGAGTTGGAGACCAGCCTGGGGAACATAGTCCCTGTCTCAAATAAATAACGTCCTCTCTAGAAATCTTGTGGTATGCCATGTGAAATGGTCTCCAAACTGTTATAGACTATATTGATTTTTACAGTAGATTATGACTTCAAGCTGGATTTGGTGGCTCATGCCTGTAATCCCAGCACTTTGGGAGGCATAGATGAGAGGATTGCCTGAGCCCACAGGTTTGAGACCAGCCTGGGCAATATGGCGAGACCTCGTCTCTACAATAAATGAAAAAATTAGCCAGGCATGGTGACATGCGCCTGTGATTCTAGCTACTTGATAGGCTGAGGTGGAAGGATTGCCTAAGCCCAGCAGGTCAAAGCTTCAGTAGTCGTGACTGCAGCCTGGGTGACAGAGTAAGACTCCACTTACAAAAAAAAAAAAAAAATTACAATTTCGGTTGCTGTCCATTTTTTTTTAACTCAGGAAGTTCATTTATAACAACTAATCAAGATTCTTCTGAGTCAAATTTAAAGTCAGAAATAATGTTGCTGTAGACCTTGAAGGAATTCTGGTTAAAAGATCTAGCCTAAGCCGGGCTCGGTGGCTCAGCCTGTAATCCCCCACCTTTGGGAGGCTGAGATGAGTGGATTGCCTGAGCCCGCGGGTTCGAGACCCGCCTGGGCAGGCGAGACTTCATCTCTACAATAAATCAAAAAATTAGCCAGGCGTGGTAGCGCGTGCCTGTAGTTCCAGCTACTTGGAAGGCTGAGGCAGAAGGATTGCCGGAGCCCAGCAGGTCGAGGCTGCAGTGGCTGGGAGTGGCCACTGCACTCCAGTCTGGGCAACAGTGAGACGCCAACTCAAAAAAAAAAAAAAAAAGATCTATTCTAGCAATGTAAAGCTTGGAAAAACTATTAGAGAACACAGTCTTGTTCTTTCCTAAATTCTTGCATATTATCTGATGATTTTATTAGCTACATGAGTATCTTCTCTGCTTTTTTTTTCTTTTCTTAGAGTCATTCTCACTCTGTCACCCAGGCTGGAGTGCAGTGGCTTGATCGTGACTCACTGTGACCTTAACCTCCTGGGACTCAGGACTACTCGTGTGCCACCATGCCCAGCTAATTTTTTTTTATTTTTTGTAGACACAAGGTCTCACTATGTTGTCCAGGCTAGTCTCAAACTCTTGGGTTCAAACAGTCCTCCCACCTTGGCCTCGCAAAGTATTGGTATTATGGGCGTGAGCTACCTTACCCAGCCTTTCTATTATCTTAATTGTTCGCTTACTCTGCCCCATATTCACACTGGAGGAAAGCAGAGTACAGGGTAAGTAATTGTGTATTCTTTTCTCTGTGCGAACAGGACTTAAAAGAGGAGATTGATACTCGCCTATCAAGGGTTCAGGATATCAAGTATGAACCCCAGCTCCTTGCAGATGATGATGTTAGACTGCTACAGCTGGAAACCCAGGGAAATCAAAGTATGTGGAAGTACTTGGAGGGATGCTTCAGTGAGGAGTCCCACAAATTCAGGATTGCTTTTTTCTCAGAATTGTTAACAACTGCTGGCAAAGCCTCAGTAACTGTTGTTACTGGATATATGCTAGATATAGAGAGGCAGTTTGTTGGCTGACTGGAGTTTGGAGAATCTCTTTAGGGTTATGCCTGAGACTAGTCTTTTTTCTCAACAGATTGCTACAACTATCTGTACAGGATGAAAGCTCTGGATGCCATTCGTGCCTCTGGTAAGGGCTGCCTGACAGGGTCCTTTTTAGGATCCTGAAAGCTTACCTAGGGAACAATGATGAACCCACTTTATGTGTTAAGATTTGTCCTTTCTCCATATCCATAGCTAGTAGGAATTTCCTAGAGTTTTTCAGAGTACTGGGTTACTGTTTTGTTAAGGAAATGATACAAGCAGGTTATTCTCTAAAGAGACTGGATTTTTTTTTTAAAGATCTTTTTTAAGGTCTTTGTCCTTTTTATTTTTTGAGTTGGAGTCTCACTCTGTTTTCCAGGCTGGAGTGCTGTGGTACACTCATGGCCACCGCAACCTCAACCTGCTAGGCTCAGGTGATCCTTCTGCCTCAGCCTTCCAAGTAGCTAGAACTACAGGCACATGCCACCACGCCTAGCTAATTTTTTAATTTATTGTAGAGATGAGATTTTGCCAAGTTGCCTAGCCTGGTCTCAAACCCCTGGGCTTAGGAAATCCTCTCACTTTAGCCTCCCAAAGTCCTGGGATTATAGACATGAGCCACCACGCCCAGCCAGGGTCCTTGTCTTGAGACCTTTAGTTTCACAAATTGGATGGTAGTGATTTACTTGTTTTTCCACAAAGGACAGGTGAACTCGGCATTTTCGCTAAGCTCAAGATAGAGGGTTCTTAATTTTTTTTCATTCTTTTTTGTTTTTGTTTGTTTTGTGAGTTAGAGTCTCACTCCGTCACCCAGACTGGAGTGCAGTGGCCACTCCTGGCCACCGCAGCCTCGGCCTGCTGGGCTCCGGCGATCCTTCCACCTCAGCCTTCCAAGCAGCTGGAACTACAGGCGTGGTGCTACCACACCCAGCTAATTTTTTGATTTATTGTAGAGACGAGGTCTCGCCAAGTTGCACTGGTGGGTCTCGAACCCGCAGGCTCAGGCAATCAGCCACCGAGCCTCGCCTTTTTTCATTCTTATCTATATGCTTGTCATACTTGCTGTATCCGCCAAAACATGGTTTATGTCTTAAAGCCAGGAAGGGTAAGTAGGATGGTAAAAAGTATGATGGCCGGGCTTGGTGGCTCAGCCTGTAATCCCAGCACTTTGGGAGGCCAAGGTGAGCGGATTGCCTGAGCCCGCGGGTTCGAGACCCGCCTGGGCAACTTGGCGAAACCTCATCTCTACAATAAATCAAAAAATCAGCCGGGCGTGGTAGCGCGTGCCTGTAGTTCCAGCTACTTGGAAGGCTGAGGCTGAAGGATTTCCGGAGCCCAGCAGGCAAGGCTGCGGTGGCCGGGAGTGGCCACTGTACTCCAGTCTGAGCCACAGAGTGAGACTCCAACTCAAAAAAAAAAAAAGAAAAGTATGATGATACTATCATGTAGCTTGCAGTCATGTTGCCACTACTAAATGATCACCTCAGGCATAGCTCTATACCTTTGATCTTAATTCTATCAGAATTTTTCTCCAGCTTAATGCACTCATTTCATTAGACATATATCTTAGTTTGGGAAATACACTAGAAACACTGAAGAATGAGATAAAGGGTATGATTGTGCTGTTATTTTCTCAGAGATCCCGTTTCATGCTGAAGGCCGGCATCCTCGTTCCTTAATGGGCAAGAATTTCCGCTCTTACCTGCTAGATCTGCGAAATACTAGTACTCCTTTTAAGGGTGTGCGCAAGGCCCTCATTGATACCCTGCTGGATGGCTATGAGACAGCCCGCTATGGGACAGGGGTAAGCTGGATAGCCATTTATTTTTCAAGGCACTAAACGACTACTCCAAACTGAGAGATCCTCACTCTTCCTTTCTCTTTCCTAAGGTCTTTGGCCAGAATGAGTACCTGCGCTATCAGGAAGCCCTGAGTGAGCTGGCCACCGTGTGAGTTTGGAGGGGAACACTTCAAAGGGGGCTGGTACAGTAGTATTGAACTGTTCCCACAGTGAAATGACCTTCATAAAGCAATGTGAACAAAATCTGTGATACCATAAAAGTTGTCAGGTTCCAGACTATCAGAACTGCCCCTTGCACACGTTAGACAGCAGATGCACCAAGCCTGTCATCCCAGCACTTTGGGAGGCTGAGATTAGAGGATTGCCAGAGTCCAGGGGTTCGAGACCAACCGAGGCAACTTGGTGAGACCTTGTCTCTACGATAAATCAAGAAAATAGCCAGACGCGGTGGCACACGCTTATAGTTCCAGCTACTTGGAAGGCTGAGATAGAAGGATTGCCTGAGCCCAGCAGGTCAAGACTGCGTAGCCATGAGTGTGCCACTGCATTCCAGCCTGGGCGACAGAGTGAGACTCCAACTCAAAAAAAAGATGCTGCTGCTATACAAGCTAATAAGAGAAGCTTGTACTTTTTTTTTCTTTCTTTTGAGACAGGGTCTCGCTCTGTCACCCTGGAGTGCCATGGTGCATTTGTAGCTCATTGTAGCCTTGAACTTCTGGGTTCAAACCACCCTCCCACCTCAGCCTCTCAAGTAGCTCTGACTACAGGTGCACCACAATTGACCAGCTAGTGGCTATGGGTGTGTAGTGAAGGGGGCTTGGTTTGTTGCCCAGACTGAGAGACTTCTTTTGTGTACATCTTTTTCTTTCCTTTGCTTTTGCTTTTTCTAAGCTATACCTATAGCTTAGAAAAGGGAATAAAGTTTTTCAGAACTCAGGGATTCCAAATCTCTGTTCTGGGGTCCCAATGCTCTCTTGTGTCATTGTCGTAAGAATTAAATGCACATATTTTTATTACTTAAAGTATTAGTAACCCTGTCTGAAACAAAAGATGTCATAGAGTCAGTTGATGAGTGTGCTACAGAAGAGTCAAGATTTTTGTTTGAGATTGTTTTAAATATGTACTAAGCATAGTGTCATTATGTTGTCTATGCAAATGTTAAAATCAAAGCTTAGTGAAGAAGAAAAGCCAATCTAGAATAAAAAACTACGCCAGGCATGGTGGCTCACGCCTATAATTCCAGCACTTTAGGAGGTCGAGGTGAGAGGATTGCCTAAGCCCATGGATTCAAGACCAGCCTGGGCAACTTGGTGAGACCTCATCTCTACAATAAATGAAAACATTAGCCAGGTGTGGTGGTGTGTACCTATAGTTCCAGCTCCTTGGAAGGCTGAGTCAGAAGGATCACTTGAGCCCAGCAGGTTGAGGCTGCAGTGGCCATGAGCGTGCCACTGCACTCTAGCCCAGGCGAAAGAATGAGACTCCTACTCAAAAAAATAAATTAGTTACCAGTCATAAAATGAACACATCTGTTTGCTGTGTTGAGTATGGTTCTTTATCAAGATAAGAGGTATATCTATCCTGTATTCTTTTTTTTTTTTGAGTTGGAGTCTCACGCTGTCGCCCAGACGGAATGCAGTGCACAGCCTCGACCTGCTGGGCTCCAGCGATCCTTCCGCCCCAGCCTTCCAAGTAGCTGGAACTACAGGTGCCCACTACCACACCCGGCTAATTTTTTTGATTTATTGTAGAGATGAGGTCTCCTCAAGTTGCCCAGGCGGATCTCGAACTTGCAGGCTCAGGCAGTCCACTCACCTCAGCCTCCCAAGGTGCGGGATTACAGGCTGAGCCACTGAGCCTTGCTCCTGTCTTCTCTTTATTCTTAAAAATGAACTACCTTTCTGGGCGTGGTGGCTTATACCTGTAATCCCAACACTTTGGGAGGCGGAGGTGGGAGGATTGCCTGAACCCATGGGTTCAAGATCAGCCTGGGCAACTTGTCTATACAGAAAATGAAAAAATTAGCTGGGCGTGGTCACATGTGCCTGTAGTTTCAGCTACTGGGAAGGCTGAGGCGGAAGGATCACCTGAGCCTAACAGGTCGAGGCTATGGTGGCCGTGGATTGTACCACTGCATTCCAGCATGGGTGACATAGTGAGACTCTGACTCAAAAAAAAGTGCTGTATGATTTCCCTTAAATAAGGTGCCTAGCCCGGTTCGGTGGCTCAGCCTGTAATCCCGCGCCTTTGAGAGGCTGAGGTGAGTGGATTGCCTGAGCCCGCGGGTTCGAGACCCACCTGGGCAGCGAGACCTCATCTCTACAATAAATCAACAAAATCAGCCGGGCATGGTAGCGTGTGCCTATAATTCCGGCTACTTGGAAGGCTAAGGTGGAAGGATCGCCAGAGCCCAGCAGGTCGAGGCTGTGGTGGCCGGGAGCGGCCACAGCACTCCAGTCTGGGCGACAGAGTGAGACGCCAACTCAAAAAAAAAAAAATATCTAGGATAGTTGATAAAGGTGACCACACTAAAAAAAATAAAATTAAATAAATAAGGTGCCTAGGTAGTCAGACTCACAAAAAGTAGAGTGGTGGATGCCAGGGACTAGAGAGAGGGGGACATGAGGAGTTGTTGTCTAATGGGCTCTGCCACATTTCAGTTTTGCAAGATGAAAATGTTCTGAAGGTTCGTTACACAACATTGTGAATATGCTTAACACCTGCTGAATAATACTTCTTTAAATGGTTAAGAAAGTCAGGTGTGATGGCTCATGCCTATAATCCCAGCACTTTGAGAGATCGAGAAGAGGATTGTTTGAATCCAGGGGTTCAAGACCAGCCTAGGCAACTTGGTGAGCCATCATCTCTACAATAAATCAAAAAATTAGCCAGGTGTGGTGGCATGAGCCTGTAGTTCCAGCTACTCGGAGGGTTCAGGCCAAAGGAGCCCAGCAGCTCAAGGCTGCTGTAGCCATGAGTGTGCCGCTGCACTCCAGTCTGGGTGATAAAGTGAGACTCCAACTCAAAATAAAATAACATGGTTAAGATGGTAAATTTTATGTTATATGTGTTCTTTCACAATTAGAAAGAATTGTCTCTTTGATTTCTAGTTTCTAGAAAGATTTGATAGGCATAGTGAAAAAAGAGTATAGGCTTTGAAATCTGACAAAGTTAGGTTTCAGTATGAGGTCTGTCACTTACTAGCTTTGTGACTTCATGCAAATTAATTCTTGGACCCTCAGTTTCCTAACCTGTGATTCAGGGTGATAACCTGTATAGGGGCTACTGGGATTTGATAAATTAAACATTAGTAAAGTGTAATGTCCTAACATGAGGTAAGTACCCAATAACTGCTTCTATTCTTATTTTTTTGGTACTTGGTTTTTGAGGGACTCTCTTTATGTTAGCTGCACATATATATTAGGTGAATCAGTAGAGCTAAAATTTTTCTTTAAGTATAGTGAGATGAGCCAGGCACAGTGACTCATGCCTGTATTCCCTGCTTTTTGGGAGGCGGAGCTGAGAGGATTGCCTGAGCCCAGGGGTTCAAGACCAGCCTGGATAACTTGGCAAGACCTCATCTCTACAATAAATCAAAAAATTAGTTGGATGTGGTGATACGCACCTGTGGTTCCAGCTAGTTGGAGGCTGAGGCGGAAGGATCACCTGAACCCAGTGTGTCAAAGTTGCAGTGGCCATGAGCATGCCATTGCCCTCTAGCCTGGGCAACAGAGTAATATTCCTACTCAAAAAAAGTATAGTGATACAAAGAAAAACGTGAGCCAAAGGCAAGGATTCAGTGGGAAATTGGCTTCTTTGCTACTTGTAAGCTACCAGATGGGACATTGGTAACTAATTTACAAACTAGGACAGAGACCATTTGTGGCTACCACTGCATTTATGGTACTGGCTAAGCCCCAAATTACATACTTTCATTCGTCCTCATTCTGTCCATGACCTTCCTTGTCTATATTCTTCAGGGTCAAAGCACGAATTGGAAGCTCTCAACGACAACATCAGTCAGCAGCCAAAGATCTCACTCAGTCCCCTGAAGTCTCCCCAACAACCATCCAGGTGACATACCTCCCCTCCAGTCAGAAGAGTAAACGTGCCAAGCACTTCCTTGAATTGAAGAGCTTTAAGGACAACTATAACACATTGGAGAGTACTCTGTGATGGAGCTGAAGGACTCTCACTGTAGATTGAGCCAGACAGTTGCAGTATGCAAGACAGGCTGCTTGCTGGGCAGCCCTCAGGACATCTGGCTCAGCAGGCCCAGATTGTATTAGCAGAAGCTCCTGTTGTCTCCAGAGTTCTTAGAGCTTGTGCCTAAAGGGTCATTCCCAACCCTTCTTATTAGGCATTTTCAGAACATCAGCTAAGACTTTGTTTTCTTCCAGCAGCACTTTTTTTCTGGATTTGAATTCAGATGTTACTAATGTTTCTGTCAAAGCTTCCTTAAAAATCTTCACTAGGTTTTGGCCATTGTTCACCTACACTGTTTCAGACTATTTAATCCCAAAGGTGAGAGTTGAAGTGAGGCATTCTTCCCTGTCTACCCCTTTGTACATGGTTGAATGGAAACTGTTTAGATTTAAGGCATCTCAGAGTTGATTAGTGAAAAAAAAGCAGACAGGAACTGGTGGGGAGCTGGGATGAGGAAGTTGGTATGTGGAACAGCTTACCCTGGTGCTCCACTTAAAGCAGGATGTGTTGCAACTTTTCTGATAGACAAAGATCTGCTTTTACACTTTCATTCCAGAGCATTGTGAATAAATGGAATTAAAGGGAATGTTCTGACACCTAACATAACCTGTGCCAGGCTGTGAGACAGTGGGAAGGAGTGGTTTCCCCTAGCAAGCCAATGCACTGATCTGACTTTATAAATTATTTAATAAAATGAACTATTGAAAAATAAAGTGTATGATTGATTCAGAGTTGTCTTTTAATAAAACTGGCATATGATGTATTCTCTGCGCAGTTTTTTTTTGGTTTTTTTTTTTGAGTTGTCTTACGCTGTCGCCCAGGCTGGAATGCAGTGGCACAGTCACGGCCATCGCAGCCTCAACCTGCTGAGCTCAGGTGACCTTTGGCCTCAGCCTTCCAAGTAGCTGGAACTACAGGTGTGAGCCACCATGCCTGGCCTTCTTTACACATTTCTTTTTCTTTTTATTTTTTTGAGTTGGAGTCTCACTTCTTTGCTCAGGCTGGAGTGCACTGGCATGCAAGCTCACAACCACCCCAGCATCAATCTTCTGGGCTCCAGGGATCCTTCCACCTCAGCCCTCAAAGCCAGAACTACAAACGTGTGCTACCATGCCCAGCTATTTTTTATTTTATTGTAGAGACATGGTCTCACCAGGTTTCCCGGGCTGGTCTCCAACCCGTGGGCTCAGGCAATTCACTTGCCTCAGCCTCCCAGAGTGCTGGGATTACAGACTGAGCCACCGAACCTGACCTTTACACATTTCTAACAGGGCATGAGGATTGGCCTCCAGAGAATTGGTGTGACTATGTGCGTACCCTGGATCAAGGACTATACAGATACTCTTTTGGGACTCCAGCAGTAGAAATCCTGAAATAGGGATTGTGGCCCATGCTCGTAGAGTTGCCTGTATCACTAATAGGAGGCTGGAGAACCAGGATTCTCTTTAGGTTTCTGGGGCAACAGGCCAGATGACCAATCAACTAGGCCCAGGGTCATTGTTGGAGGCGGAAATGTTGCTATGGCTACTAAAACCTCGGTGACTGAACTAAACAGAAAGGAGAGCCTGCCCAGTCTTCTCAGACCATGTCAAGCAAGTCTGTAGACATGTCTATGGAAAAGATGACAAAAGTAGAAGAGGTATGCAAAATTGGAAGGAGGGGCTGGGTTGAAGGAGTTTCCCCTGATGAGGTTTCCAGATCAATTTACCAGAAGTGCCTCCTTTACTAAAAAAGGGCCTTGATGTAACAGAAGGATATACTGTGCTTAGTTAACAGGATTGGGAGGCAATATCTGGCACATAGTAGGTACTCAAATATGTATTCCACCCCGACCCCTGCATGTTTTCTTTGACACATTCTGAAAGAAGTGGAGCTTTCTTCTCCCCATCCCTTCTAGGAAATTGACAACTTCCTCTCCAAAGAGAAAGGTCTGTGTCTCCCAAGATTGGAGTCCCTGGGATGAGGTTCTGGAGATTAAGGCAGATCAACAGAACTCCCTTTTCTTACAGAGTTTTCAAAGAGCCGTGAAACTTAAAAAGATGGTTGACAGGTAATCGTCTATCCCCTCCCTTTACCTTTTAGCTCGACCTTTTCCACTCTGCTGTTCCCCTGAACCATCTCTTGTTAGTGGCTCATCAACTAGGAAAATGTGGAAGGGGTAAAAAGCAGCCTTTCTCTCAAAGCAAGCAGATAATAGCCTCCTAGTGCCCACTAGGTTAGGCTATAGAGATTATGGTTTTTATTATCCCCTACTTCCCATTCTCTAAAGGAAAATTGGAGCATATTTTTATTTGTTTGTATTTTGTGTGGCTGCACACCACCCTGGGTGGCAGAGTGAGACTGTCTCAAAAAAAAAAAAAAAAAAAGGAAACAATTTCTCTATGTTGCCCAGACTGATCTTGAACTCCTGGCTCAAGTGATCCTCCCACATCAGCCTGCCAAGTAGCTGTGATTACAGTCATGCACTACCTCACTGGCAAACATTTGGTTTCTTTTTGAATTGGAGTTTGTTGCCCAGGTTGGAGTGCGGTGGCCCACTCATGGCCACTGCAGCCTCGACCTGCTGGGCTCAGGCAATTCTTCTTCCAAGTAGCTGGAACTGCAGGCGTGCCCTACCACACCCGGCTTATTTTTTGATTTATTGTAGATCAGCACTTTGGGAGACCGAAGTGAGAGGATTGCCTGAGCCCAGGGGTTCGCGACCAGTCTGGGCAATTTCGTGAGACCTCATCTCTACAATAAATCAATAAAAATTAGCTGAGTGTGGTGGCACACACCTGTAGTTCCAGCTACTTGGAAGGCTGAAGCAGAAGGATCACCTGAGCCCAGCAGGTAGAGGCTGCGGTGGCCGTGGGCATGCCACTGCGCTCCAGCTTGGACAACAGAGTGAGACTCCAACTCAAAAAAAAAGTAAAAGAACCAGAAAACATAGTTGGTTAAATTATACAAAAATACTAAACAGCCTTTAAACTGAATGAAGCAAATCTCTATGTTTTAATATGAAGAGTTCATTCCAACACAAATGATAAACGTTCGAGACAATGGATGTTCAAGTTACCCCGATCTGATCACCATACATCCCTATGTACTTCATGAATATGTAGTAATTTATGAAACAAAATTTTAAAAATGCATAAAAAGTCCAAATTGTTAAGTAACACTGCTTATGTAAATGTATGATCTCATGTTTAACAAAAAGAAGACATACTTCTTTGTATATGATAGAAAAGTTTCCTGGAAAGATGCACAAGAGCTGGGCTCGGTGGCTCAGCCTGTAATCCCGCGCCTTTGGGAGGCTGAGGTGAGTGGATTGCCTGAGCCCATGGGTTTGAGACCCGCCTGGGCAGCGAGACCTCATCTCTACAATAAGTCAAAAAATCAGCCGGGCACGGTAGCGCGTGCCTGTAATTTCGGCTACTCGGAAGGCTGAGGCGGAAGGATCGCCGGAGCCCAGCAGGTCGAGGCTGCGGTGGCCGGAATC